ATGCCATTGGCCGTGAAAGATCTCTGGCCAGGTTTTCTGTGCCTCGTGTGGTCTATTAGCCTCTGTGAGGCTATTTATCATCTGGAGGTGGCCTCTGGACAATGTGACATCTGCCTCCCATGGACTTTTTTATGGCCTCCTGATTCGCCTAAGGTGCAGCCACCGGAGTCTCTTCCTGGCCCGTGGTCATGTAGACTGGTGGTTGTCATTAATGCCTCGCAATTGTAGAGGGATATACCCTGGATTTCAAGTCTGGTATGAGGTCGGACGATGACTGTGGTTCCTGGCCCTTCCCAGCTTTCGTGAGAGGGTGGCTGGTGTCAACATCTGGCCCCAAAATGGCTTAAGACTCCATCCACTGCTGTGAGAGAGCAGTGGAGTTTATTGACTTGGACCTGACTGGATATCCCTTTTCCGGAATTTGGACCAACTCGATTAACCCCCTGGCCGTGGGCTTCCCCCGATTATTTAGATGTATTCGCCAGCAGAGCTTCTTATTCTGCGAGATTCCCCCCTATTGCAGGTGTGGTCCTCCACTCTATCGAGGGCCTACGTTTATGATGGGCTTTGGCACCCCGAGAGGTGGCATGTTGCAAAAAGGGGATTGAGGGGTTTTCTGAGGAAATTTTTAGATAGATTTTTAAGGTGTTCTAGGGGGCGGGAGGGTTGTGTGGGTTTGGGGCCTAGCCCACGGGGGGAGGGGTCTGGCCCAGCTGCCAGTCGGGCCACGGAGGGTGTGGATTCCGGGGGTAAGGGGGGCATTAGATTTCATTCTGCTGAGAGCTTTTCCATCAATATGCTGAGTAGGAGGGGCAGATATGGCGGGAGCAGGGGGCCATATCATGTGGTGGGGGTGCGCACTCACTATCTCCGAGTGGTGGCACGCCCCGGTCCCCATAGCCCTTTTCGTTCCCCAGGCTGTTCAGACTCTCAGAGCCCGAGCCTTCGGCTGTTGCTGTGCAATGCCAGGTCCGTGGTAAATAAAGCCCCCCTCATTTGCGATTTTATTCAGGAGTGGGGAGCGGACCTGGCAGGTATTACGGAGACCTGGTTGGGTCAGGAGGGGGGAGTTCCCCTCGTAGATATCTGCCCACCAGGCTTCCGTGCATTCCACCAGCCGAGAGCTCAGGGCAGGGGCGGGGTGGTGGTGGTTATTATAAAGGAAGGTCTTGATCCGAGGGAGACCACTGTTCCATAGATAGCCGGATGTGAGTCCCTTCTTGTGAAGTGGGGCCGTGGAGTGCAGATGGGCTTGTTGATCACGTACCTGGCTCCCTGCCACCTGGCGACGGCCCTGCCTGAGCTGCTCAATGTCATAGCCGAGGTGACGGCTGATACCCCCAGACTTTTGGTCATGGGGGATTTCAACCTGCCATCCATTGGTGAAACGTCTGAGGTGGCTCAGGAGTTCATGGCTTCCATGATGGCCATGGACCTGACTCAGTTAATTCATGGCCCCACTCAACTCTGGACTTAGTTTTTATCTCTGGTCAGTGGTTGAGTGGCCTTGATACAGGGGATATAGTCATCGAACCCTTGTCATGGTCTGACCACTCGCTCCTTCGACTTGACTTTCTAACCGCTACACCGCGCCACAGGGAAGCGGGACCAACTAGGTAGTTCCACCTCAGGCGCCTGATGGATCCTCATAGGTTCCAGATGGAGCTTGGGCCATTTCCTGAGACTCTGGCTCATGACTCGGCTGAAGACCCGGTGGCTGCCTGGGACAGTGCGGCCGCCGGGGCTTTGGACTGCATCGTGCCTTTGCGGCCTCTGACCCGGCACCGAACTCACCTAGCTCTTTGGTTCTCCGAGGAGCTGAGGGAGATAAAGCGCCGGAAAAGACACCTGGAGAGCGGTTGGAGGACCAGCCATTCCGAATCCGACCGAACACTGATGAGGTTTCATATTAAGACCTACCTAGTGGCGATAAAAGCAGCAAAATCTAGCTATTTTGCCGCCCTTATTGTGTCATCAGATAATTGCCCAGCTACCCTGTTTAGGGTAACCCGCTCCCTCCTCCATCTGGGAGCACAGGATGATCCCTTGCAGGGTCGAGCTGAGGATTTTGTGCAGTATCTGTATGACAAGATCGCTCAGATTTGGGAAGGCCTAGCCTCTGACTAGGTAAGTCCGGACGGGGTGATTGAGGCAGGTCTTGAGAGTGTTATCTGGGAGGAGTTTGCTCCTGTGGCTCCTGAGGACCTGGACAGGATTCTGGGACGGCTGAACGCGACCACATGTTTATTGGACCCGTGTCCCTCCTGGTTGGTGCTGGCTTCCCGGGAGGTTACACGAGGCTGGCTCCAGAGGATTATTAATGCTTCTTTGAGCGAGGGTGTCCTACCGGCCACCTTGAAAGAAGCGGTGGTGAGGCCCCTCCTCAAGAAGCCCTCTCTGGATCCGGCTGGATATCGTCCAGTATCCAACTTTCGTTTTATTGCGAAGGTTGTTGAGAGTGTGGTGGCGCAGCAGCTTCCACAGTACCTGGATGAAGCTGTCTATTTAGATCCGCTCCAGTCCGGCTTCAAGCCTGGGCACAGCACGAAAACGGCATTGGTTGCATTGGTGGATGATCTCTGGAGGGCTTGGGATAGGGGTTGTTCCTCTATCCTGGTCCTGTTAGATCTCTCAGCGGCTTTTGATACCATCGGCCATGGTATCATGTTGCACTGGTTGGAGGGGTTGGGGGTGGGGGGCACCTTCTGTTCAACATTTATGTAAAGCCGCTGGGTGAGATCATCCGTGGCTTTGGGGTGGAGTTCCATCAGTACGCTGATGACACTCAGCTGTACATCTCCACCCCAGGCCACCCCAACGATGCCCTTGAAGTGATGTCCCGGTGCCTGGAGGCCGTGCGGGCCTGGATGGGGAGAAACAGGCTCAAGCTCAACCCTTCCAAGACCGAGTGACTGTGGCTTCTGGCATCCCGATATAGCCAGCTGGTGCCATCGCTGGTTATTGGGGGCGAATCACTGGCCCCCACGGAGAGGCTCGCAACTTGGGCGTCCTCCTGGATGCACGGCTGTCTTTAGAAGAGCATATGACGGCCGTGGCCAGGGGGGCTTTTTATCAGGTCCGCCTGATACGCCAGTTGCCTCCCTTTCTGGATCGGGACTCCCTACACACGGTCACTCAGGCACTCATCATTTCCCGCCTGGACTACTACAATGTTCTCTACATGGGGCTCCCCTTGGGGTGCACCCGGAGGCTCCAGTTGGTCCAGAATGCGGCCGTGCGGGGGATTATGGGAACGACGGGGCGCTCCCATGTGACACCTCTCCTGCGCGAGCTGCACTGGCTTCCGGTGGTCTTCCGGGTGCGCTTCAAGGTGTTGGTGACCACCTTTAAAGCGCTCCATGGCTTAGGGCTGGGGTATCTATGAGACCACCTTCTGCCACCAATAGCCTCCCACCGGCCAATTCGCTCGCACAGAGAGCGCCTCCTCAGGGTGCCGTCGGCCAGACAATGTAGGCTGGCGACCCCCAGGGGGAGAGCCTTCTCTGTGGCGGCACCTGCCCTCTGGAACGACCTACCCCCAGAGATACGCACAATACGAGACCTCTGGACTTTTCGTCGGGCCCTGAAAACACATCTATTTCATCTGGCTGGGCTGGCTTGATCCCATCCTTTCGGTTTTAATTTGAAATTGGTTTTAACTGGGTTGTTTTAAATTGTGGGCCGAAATTATTTAATGTCTTTTAAACTGTTTTTTTAAATTTTATATGTTATGTTTTATCTCGGCTGTTCACTGCCCTGAGTCCTGTTGGAGAAGGGCGGTATAAAAATCAAATAAAAGAAATAAAAGAAATAAAAGAAATAAATAAATAAATAAATAAATAAATAAATAAATAAATAAATAAATAAATAATAACTAACTAACTAACTAACTAACTAACTAACTAACTAACTAACTAACTTGTGGGAACATAACGACTCTAGGTTGATTCCTCTCTTGACTCCGGTCCCAGGCTCTGCCTCTCCTCTCCTGCTACAGAAAAAGCTGTGTTAGATCAGACCAAAGATCTAGGAATCTAGCATTCTGTTCCCACAATAATCAGTGGTGTCTGGAAAATCTGCAAGCAGAATATGTGGCCAGTGGCTCATCTTTCTGCTGATGACCTTCAACTACAATCTCTTAAGAACCATGCACTGTTGGATGAGATATTTAGCCTTGGAGATGACAAGCCATTGATGAGACCTATCTTCTCACCCCGGTTGCTATATAGCTCTAAGCATGCCCCATTGACCACAGTGGGACGTCTAACTAAGCATTCATAGCTGCAACATTAATCACAAAGCAATAAACTGGTTGGTTTGGTCCTTTTGCTTAATTGAGCGTGTAGAACCATAGGCAGGTTTTATAACAGATGAACAAGCATTGTCTTAAACGGATAACAGGTATATAAATCTTGATTTTTTTTTCCTCAGAGATTTTGGCATTTCTGAAGTCCATCTAGCAAGAACTGGTGCTCTTTAGTGGTGTTGCACTCTTGCTTGAGCAGGAGGTTGGACTAGAAGACCTCCAAGGTCCCTTCCAACTCTGACATTCTATGTTCGATGAATTTTCTGATAATATAAGAAATGGCGGCTGTTGGGAATGAAAGGAGCTAACGTCTGATACTTCTGGAGCAGGGGTCTCCAACCTTGGACACTTTAAGACTTGTGGCTTCAACTCCCGGAATTCCCCATCCAGCATTCTTAAGTCCACAAGTCTTAAAGTGCCCAAGGTTGGAGACCCCTGTTCTTGAGGATAAGATTGGAGAAAGATGCCATATATTTTCCAGGCATTCTAACTCCCTGAGCATTAATATATTCTCCGGAGTCTAGCAAAATCTTTTCTTTATCTTTTTTCTCTTTTACAGCATACATGTGTATTTGTTAAAGCCACATTTAAGACATTTGCTAACTCAGAGCTCTTTAAGCAGACATCCTACGCTTTGTGTAAACTAACCATTTCTTTCTTTCTTTCTTTTTTTTTTCTTTTTTCTTTCCTGCAGGGGAATTGGAAAGCAGGGACTTCAGTGCTTAGGTAAGACCTTTCTTTTGACAATGCCCTTGGCATGGTGCTTTTTTCCCCATTAGAGTGCCACATGGTGTGAAAGCACAATCAGGCCTATGGAGTAGAGCAGCAGGGTTATTGGATGGGAAAGAGAGGATGTGGGCGCTGCAGCCACGCCCCTTTCTCCTTGAATCCCAAAAGCATGGGGCCGTTATTAATGAGGAGCGTGCCATGCACAGGCTCAGAGGCTCTCCTGGTCAGCTTGGTAGGCTAACAGCTTGCTCTTGATTAAAAGAGGGTTTGTAAGCAGGAATTGTAATTTTTGGAAATGACAGCCTTGTATCGGGGGTTTGCATCTTAACAGATACAAGTTACCGGAGAAAAGGCTGAAAAGGTTCTCTTGTTTGAGTAGAAAAGACCACCACAAACTCTGAGAAGGATAAGAGGCAATGGTTTGGTTAATTCTTGGTTTTGGGACTTACCTGCATGCTGGCTGGAGAATTCTGGGAGTTGAAGTCCAGATATTTTAAAGTTGCCAAAGTTGAGAAATATTGGTATATACTGTATATTAAATTAAGATCTTATTCAGAGATAGCTGGGACTGAGGAGTGCTAGATGCTGATGGCAAGGAAGAGCAAAGGCTGTGGGGGCAGGGGCAGGTTGCCTCCAATTTCCCCAATTCCCATTTTAATCAAGCAATTTTTGCACACACAGAAGAGTCCCTGATCCAGTTTTATTGTTTCTCTGAACTACATTCCTTTGGGCTATTTTAGGACTCTGAAATGTCTCTTTCATTCTTGTATATTTTAGATACACATCTATATCCCACACTACCCTCATGCCTGACTTTTCTGTCGAAATCTACCTTTGTTTTTTCACGCGTCCTGTTGGCTTGTGGTCCCTTTGTATTCATATACATGTGGTCATGTATTCCTGTTAATAACATTTTGTTATTTATTTATTTGTATTTCATATTTGTAAACCACCCATTTCCCTGATGCATATTTGCTCATTTACTGTTCTTTTTTTTTTTTATCGTCAATGGAGATTGTCAGTCATACAGGTCATAGTTATTCCAAAGGTGCTTTTTCTTGTCTTTGAAGACGTTTTGCTTCTCATCCAAGAAGCTTCTTCAGCTCTGACTGGAAGGTGGGCAATAGAAGGATTTATGTTCCTTGTAGACAACTGGTCATTTGCATTCTTTTAGAGAGTCGTTGAGGCCACTTGGAGGTTTATGTGTGTCCTCAGGGTCACCTGAGTAGTGCAAATGGGTGTGGATTTTTGGAACTGTTGAAAGGACTGTGTCGTAATCTGGAATAGATAGCGTCATATACCTCCCTCTCTGTTGAGAAAGGGCTATTGAATTTTGACATAGATGGCCTCTTTGACTCCTCTTTCAAACCAGCAGTCCTCTCTGTCCAAAATGTGCAGTTTGTTGTCTTCGAAAAAATGGCCTTTGTTTTTTAAATGCAGATGGACTGCTGAATTTTGTCCTGATGGGTTTGTTCTCCTGGGTTGTGCTATGCGCTTATGAAGTAGTTGTTTTGTTTCCCCAATGTACAGATCTGCACACGGCTCACTGTTTGGTACTGCACATATCACGTTGCTCAGTTTGTGTCTGTGTTTGGGTCCACTCCAAGCATAAAACACTTTTTTACTTTTATATTTAATTTGTTTCACTTATTTCATTCACTCTTTGTTCATTTACAGGGGCTGTTTTATCCCACCAAGACTAGCAATTAATAAAGCCTGCCCAATGCATGCTGTTTGGAGATAACGGGAATGTATCTGGAGAATTTAGGAAAGTTTAATCTTTTGCATATATCAATTGCTGCCACTCCAGCAATCTGCTTTTAACATATTTCATGCAGCCCCTTTTCACCCCAAAAGGCCATTGATAGTAGAATAAATTGTCCAACTGTGATACACACTTTTTCATGCCCTATTTTCACACTATGTACAAGGTAACCATCCAGATGCAGTGTGGATGAATATAACAATATGTGGATTGGTCTTGTGTAACTAGCTACCCTGTACCTATTTTCCCTTGGCCAATATGTGTGACCACTTCTCCTACTGAATTTCGGTGTGCAGTTAGAGGAGGCAGAGACTCTGCATGGTCTCCATCAGAGAATAAAACTGGAAGGGGATGCAGTACTATAACTAGTTAGATGGTTTAGTTAGGCATTGATATTTAGGTACATGCTGGAACATTAGGTACATGCTGGAACAAGTTAGACTCATGTGACTAGTGCTAGAATAGAAGAATAAGAATAATGAGAGAAATGAAATTTGATTGGCAGGAAAAGATCCTGGAATAGGGCTGATAACTTTTAACAGCTATCCCAAGACAAGCCTATATGGATGGAGGTCCCTGCCAAGCAAGTAATGGTTAGATTCACGGATAGAATTGAATTGAGCTATAATGTAGTTATTTGGTTTGGGATTAATGCCGCAGGGATCGGTCCTCTCGCACCTTCTGTTCAACATTTATTTGAAGCCACTGGGCGAGATCATCCGTGGCTTCGGGGTGAGATACCATCAGTACGCTGATGACACCCAGCTGTACATCTCCACCCCAGGCCACCCCAACGATACCCTTGAAGTGATGTCTCAGTGCCTGGAGGCTGTGCGGATCTGGATGGGGAGGAACAGGCTCAAGCTCAACCCTTCCAAGACTGAGTGGCTGTGGCTCCCGGCATCCCGATATAGTCAGTTGACTCCATCACTGACTATTGGGGGCGAGTCCTTGGCCCCCACAGAAGGGGCTCGCAATCTGGGAGTCCTCCTGGATATGCAGCTGTCCTTGGAGGAACATCTGACGGCTGTAACCAGGGGGACCTTTTATCAGTTTCGCCTGATTCGCCAGTTGCGGCCCTTTCTTGATCGGGATTCCCTGTGCACAATCACGCCCTCGTCACCTCTCGCCTTGACTACTGCAATGCTCTCTACATGGGGCTCCCCTTGAGGGGCACCCGGAACGCAGGTCCAGAACGCAGCAGCGCGGGTAGTGATGGGAGCAGCATGGCGCTCCCATGTAACACCGCTCCTGCGCGAGCTGCACTGGCTCCCGGTGGTCTTCCGGGTGTGCTTCAAGGTGTTGGTTATCACCTTTAAAGCGCTCCATGGCATAGGGCCTAGCTATCTTCGAGACCGCCTGCTGCTACCGACGACCTCCCAGCGACGCATGCGCTCCCACAGAGAGGGCCTCTCAGGGTGCCATCAGCCAAACAATGTAGGCTCGTGACCCCCAGGGGGAGAGCCTTCTTTGTGGGGGCACCTACCCTCTGGAATCAGCTGCCCCCAGAGATAAGGAGAATCCAAGACCTCAGTGCTTTCTGCCGTGCCCTTAAAACCCACTTTTTCCAGCAAGCCGGGCTGGCTTAGGAAGAAATTTTTTAAATTTTTAAATGTTTAATTGGTTTGTGGTTTTTTAAATTTTGGGCCAAATTTATATAGATTTTAATTGTTTTTAATATTTGTATTTCATGTTTTTAATTCTGGCTGTGCACCGCCCTGAGTCCTCAGGGAGAAGGGCGGTATATAAATTGAAATAAATAAATAAAATGCAATGTGAAAAGCTGCAACTGCAGTTTCTAACCCTTGATTTTTATGTTAGTATTATATGTGAATCAAATTACAATAGCTTATTCAACATTGTGGTTGAACTTGGTTTTAGCACAATGTGTGAATCCAGCAGTGAAACACTTTGATTATATTGTTCCTAGCAGGGTAGCTATTTTCAGAATTAGGAAATTGCGGATGGTAAATTTCAGGTAAACATTACTTAAACATTATTTCTTGTTTATAAAGCTGGTAAGAACTGTGAGACAGTGGGACCTTAGCAGGTGAGCAGATCCAGTTCACTCAAGGTGTTTAAGGAAAGGCTAAATGGTGCTGTGGGCACAGGTTGTTCTTGACTTAGAAGAGTTCATTTAGTGACCATTTGAATTTACATTGGCACTAAAAAACTGATTTATGTCTGTTTTTCACTGTTGCAGCATTTCCACGGTCATATGAGCAAAATGCAGATGCGTGGCAATAGACTCATATTTGTGACGGTGCAGTGTCCCAGGGTTATGTGATCTCTTTTTGCGACCTTTTGACAAGTAAAGTTAATGGGGAACTCAGATTCATTTAACAACCATGTTACTAACTAACAACTGCAGTGATTCACTTAACAACTGTGGCAAGAAAGGCTGTAAAATGGGGCAAAATTCACTTAACAATTGTCTTGCTTAGCAACAGAAATGTTGGGGTCAATTGTGGTCATAAATCGAGGACTACCTGTATAGCATTCTTCAATTGAGTTGGACTAGATGACCTGAAAGCCTTGATTTTATCATAGTATGTTATTTTATGTACACCATTTCCCAAGCTGAAAAAGGGTCCTAATTTTTAGAATCCCTGTAGATTAATGTAGTTTCTACCAATATGGTTTTTTTTGTTTTACAATCATTTACATGCATTTTTTTCCTAATTCTTTGTGGAGCCCCAGAGGAAGAGAGTCCCCTTCATTATTATCTTTTCAGATGTTTTCCTGCTGAGCTTTTTTTTTCATCCCACACTGGGGGTTGGGATAGAAACCTATATATTTTCTTCCATTGCAGACAGGGTGAAGCTGTTTAAGAAGCATTTCCCTGCACTGGTTTCCCATGAAAAATTATAGCTTTCCATCTGCATTTCATATAAAAGAAAGGCGGGGGAATGATTCATGGGTTGAGAATTGAATGCACCTCAGAGACACGCAACTAAGGTTTCTTTGTACATAAGGCAGAAATCCATTGAAATTGGTTTTATTATATATTTTGACTGGGAAGGGTGAGATCATTAAAGGAACGTTCCCTCTTTGTGCACAGATGTTGCCCTTGACTCATGAGATACTGTATGTTCTGATCTCAGCATCGCTAACTTCTCCACTTTTGTATGTCTAATGTATACAAAATGTTTTGTACGTTCAGCATCTTGCATGCAAACAGGTGCAAAAAATCCTCACAAATATTTTTGTATGCCACCTGTCTCACTATATTCATCTGGGTGCGAGGGGCATGCTTCTTTTCTCAAGCATGGGATCTTTTGCCCATTTCCTTCTTTGCCCATTGCACTCATGGTGAACAGTTTCACTGATAGATTCTCTTGTATAGTTCCACCTGAGGATTTAAAAAATCTCCACCCTTCAAAATTGTATTAGTGGAGATATTAGTGGTCATCTGGCTCTTATTATGTTCCTCAGGTTTGGGTCCACTCCCTCTCAACAGGCACTGCTGTGTGTGTGTGAACCATCTCCCGTTGCCCACTCCCCTGAACTGGGATGACGTTTTAGAAATCACTTCCTAGATTTGATGGTTGCTAAGAAACCACCCTAGGGCTGTCAGGGAGATCGCTAAACGACACTCTCTCCTCACTTGCCAATTACATCACACCTGCCAATCAACTGTGGTCCCGTCTCATTCCGAATGTGTCTGGCTCAATTCTGCCATCAGCATCTGAACACCCAAATGCTTCCCTGCTCCCCTCCCATTTTGTTTTCCAACTTCCTGGGGAAAATGCACGGTAGCCTCCCTGAACAACTCCCCCTCCCAGCTCTTCTAGACCACTACACCTCCCCCCCCCCATTACTTGCACATTATGATTATCTTACAAAGGCTGGAGACAGGGGACCCACATATAGAGGGGCTTCGGCTAGGATCTCTGTTACTATGGCAACCCAGAGATGTTTATGGAAATGGCTCAGCCAAAGAGAGGGATTGGGGATAAGGGGGACTGCTGTCAAGGGGATCCTGATCTGGTTTGCTTCTGAGGTATCCCCCACAGCTTCATACACAAGAAAGAGCCATGATGGTCAGTTTTGCTTTGCAGGTCTTTAAAAACCGAAACCTCACAATAATGGGACATCAGCTGCTCATGCCCCTGTGTCAAATCTCTGATGGTCTAGCTACAAATGCACTTGTTTGGGATGTGTGTGTGTGTGTATAAATTAGCGGAAACAGAGGAAGACTGTGATATACCCATGTTTCCCCTAAAATAAGACCCTGTCTTGTATTTTTTTGAACCCCAAAATAAGTACTTGGCCTTATTTTTGGGGAGGTCTTATTATTTTGGGGCGCATGGAGCAAGATGGGGTTCCTCTTGCCGTCTTACCTTAGCCAAGAGCCTTGGTGGCGCTAAAGCACTGTTAAGATAACATCAGCTGCCTGCAATTACTGCAAGTTCAAATCTCACCAGGCTCAAGGTTGACTCAGCTTTCCATCCTTTCGAGGTAGGTAAAATGAGGACCCGGTTTGTGGGGGCAATAAGCTGACTTTGTATAAAAAAGAACACCGCTTAGGGGGGTGGGCGAAAGCTCTACTAAGCAGGTATATACAAAAGTATGAAGGCTATTGTTTAACACCTTGTAAGCCACCCTGAGTCTCTGGAAAAGGGCGGCATATAAATCGAACCAATAAATAAATAAATATCTGATTTCCCGCTCTGTCTCCCTAACCCTAACCAGAGGAAATGGCAGGGACTGGCTGTGCATGCGTTTAAATAGTTTCGGGAAGAGCTTATTTTCGGGGGGGGGGGGTGTCTTATTTTAGCACATGCACTCAAAAGCCCGATTATCAGGGGATGTCTTATTTTCGGGGAAACAGGGTATATATTACAGTTGTATCAATAAAGGAGAATATTTGTAGGTCAGGGTTGAAATGAGGAGTCCTTGGTGCTCTCTGAGCTTGGCTGTTTTCTTTCAGATGTTTCATTACCTAAACTAGGTTACATCATCAGCACTAGTTGTCTAGTGCTAGTAACGTCATCACTAGCACTGATGATATTACCTAGTTTGGGTAATGAAACGTCTGCAGCAAAACAACCAAGCTCAGAGACCACCAAGGACCCCTCATTACAGTTATACGATCATGCTGCAGAACGACTCTGGGCGACTTAGAATTAAAATCATTAATGTAAAAATATTAAAAATAAGTTGCCTCAGCCCAAAGAGATGGACAGGTTTTTAAAGTTGGAGTGAGAGGTCCATAGCTAAAGTTTCCTGCTGTTTTTTGGGATAAAGATTTTAATCTGCAGCTGCTTTGCCTCGTTTCTGGAACTTTTTGAGGGTCTGGAGAAAATTGTTTTATGTTTGTAACCTTCTAATGCTCCCCACCTTTTTTAAATATACCACACAAAATCTGTTAAGGAGGGAGTTAAGATACTGCAAAGTGTCTTTTGATTAGACAGCGAGGAACTCTCCATCTGGAACCACCCTTTTGCAAACATCTTCTCTCCTCCTGCCTCCAATGTGGTCCAATCTCTTCCCCCGCTGAGCTGGATACTCAGAGATTGTCCCTGCTTGTTGCCATAGAGACCCTCTTCCAAATCTCAGGCCTAAAGCTGCAGAAGGAAGAAGAGGTGGGGAGGGAGGGGGATTGTAGGTGAGAAGAAAGTCACTCTGTCGCCCCACACCTGCCCTCCTGGATTAGCATCTTGGCTTTCTCTCAAGAGGTTCTAGTTGCTTGCATTGAGCAGGAGACTCAAGATCAATACTGTAAAATATTTGCTGACTTGTAGACAAACAACTGCAGGTGTTGTTTTAAAATGTCATGCCTTGCATGTTGGCTCAGAATTCATGTTTTCTGAGCAATTTGGTATGATGCTCAGAATGTCTTTAGGCCTTTTTTTTAAAAGTTTCATCTACCAAAATAACAACTCAGATGCAGCCCTGTGTTCTTGGAATATCTTTTAAACTTGATTTTTTTTAAAAAACATGTAGCAGAAACTGATGCACTCTTGAGTAAGAGTAGTTTGGAAGTTGAAGAACAGGATTTTTACTCCTGCACAAAGACCACAGACCAATCTGTCTTGTGGCTATAAGTACAGGTAGTCAGTCCCTGACTTATAACCAGATTTGGGATCAGACTTTCCATTGTTGAGCGAGGTGGTTGCTAAGTGAGTCGCACCTGATTTTACAAAATATTTTTGCCATGGCTGTTAAGCGAATAACTGCAGTTGTAAATGAGCCTGGCTTTCCTCACTGACTTTGCTTCTCAGAAGCCAGCTGGGAAGGTTGCAGATGGTAATCATATGACCTTGGGACGCTGCAACCTTTATAAATCCATGCCAGTTGCCAAGAACCTGAATTGTGATTACGTGAATATGGAGATGCTGTAAGGGTTCTAAGCCTGAGAACTGGTCATAAATCATTTTTTTCAGTGCCGTTATAACTTTGAATGGTCACTAAACGAATGGTTGTAAATTAAGGACGATGAATTATGTCTTAATTTCTTTTTTATGTCTCGCACATCTTTGATTAGGTTTTTGAAAATAATGTCCTCCACCCCCACACCCTTTTAGTGTTTCAGTGAAGTCTTATGAGTGAAAAAAGGACATGTAATATGGAAAGATCTTATTATACTATGGACAAGAAGATTATGAGGTGAAGAGAGCGTATATTTTATTGTAAATATTTGCAGTTCTATCATCCTCAGTTTAGTATGGCAGAAGAGAAGTGATAGTAATGAACTAAGATAACGCAACTTCACATGTTCCTTTTCTCTGTTGTCAGTTTCTGTAATCTTCCCATAGCATTCTTAACAAATAATGCTTTTGACCCTAAATTCTTACAATATATATTTTTGGGACTTTGCCATTCTTCTTTCTTTTATTAATTCCTTTGCCTAATTGCTTTTCCCACATCAGACTTATATTTTTCATGAAACTTTTTCTTCTGTTTCTCAGTATGCAGCTTTGTTGTACATAGAAGATGCCATGAATTTGTCACTTTTGAGTGTCCAGGAGCTGGAAAAGGGCCCCAGACGGATGTAAGTGCCCTTTTCATTTCAGAATTTAGTGTCTTTTGAGAGATAAGTGAGATTGTGGTGAGGAAAAAAAAATACAGTTTGGAGATGTTTTAAAACTTGGACAGTGGGTCTCTTCATTCCAGGTGAACGTCCTGGTTTCCTTGCTATTTATACTGCTGACAGAGGGAATGGATACTTCCAGCAGCTGGCACGGTCCTATTTCTGTTGCCCTTGGCCTGAAATATTAGGGAATAAACTAGAAAAGATGGGAAGATTTGCCTCTTCTCTTTCAGAAGAACAAATTTGCCAGTTTCTTTCTTGCATAAAATTTGGTGGGTATATTCAGGCATTCTGGATGCAAAGGCAGACTTATTTCATACAGATGCAGACATATTTCCTTGTGTACACCACTTGTTCTGTGGTGGAGAAAATACACAAGCATGCATACACACACATACACATAGGGTGGCTTAATGGTGTAATGGTTATAGCACAGGTTTTGATGTTATCTGCCATGAACCATTTTGTTATCTTTTCTGTATTTATATTATAGTTAGAATGTTTTTATCCTGCTTTTATTACTTTTTTCTAAGTAGCTCAAGACAGCGAACATATCTAATACTCCTTCCTCCTTCTGCTTTCCTCACAACAACCCTGTGAGCTGAGAAAGAGGGACTGAAGGCAGAACTAGAACTCACTGTGTCCTAGGCCAACATCTTAACCACTATACCAAATTGGCTTTTTCTGTATGGTGAGAAAAGTGTACACAGACATTTTAGAGACGATGGTGGGAATTCAGATAAATAAAACTGTTGCTTTCTGGCTGTCACACAAGAATGGATAATTGCCTTCACTAACTACATGTGTTTGTAAATTTTCTCTTTTGCAGGATCCCCGGAATAAGCATAAATTCAAAACCCATAGCTACAGCAGTCCCACTTTCTGTGATCATTGTGGCTCACTCCTGTACGGACTAGTTCACCAGGGGATGAAATGCACCTGTGAGTAAGCATTAATTTTTCTCTAGAGTTGTGTGAATTGTTATAAGAAAAAGAATAAAATGCTGTTAACTAAATAGTAGAAATGATTGTCACAAAAATCTTCTTTCAACTAAGGGCTGCTGTGGCATGGAAAAAGTTCCAAGTTCTAATATTATTTCCCTCCTGAATACACAAGGCAGGCAGATAAATCATATTTTTATTATTAACAGTATGGTTGGTTGCACAATCAGTCAAATGGTTAGATTGGATTTCGCTTTTTTATTCCTCTCTCGAGTCCTTTCCATGGATCTAGGATAGGCAAATATTGTTCAATGGTATTAAAGGTATTGTCACAGGTGTAAACTGTTCCAAGTAAAGCTGTCTTAGAAGTTCTCCAAATGTTTTGGGATTGCACCCAAGGTGCCTATGACTATGGCTACTAGCTTTGCTTTCTTTTGCCACAGTTGTTCTACTTAATGCTTGCAGGTCTTTGTATTTTGTGATTCCCCCCCCCCCCCATTTCTTTCTCTTCCATTCTGTTGTCTCCATTGCTACTGCAGTGTCCACTATCCAGACGTTTTTCTTTTTTATTGATGAGTGTCAAGTCTGGGTTGTTATAGGGCAGGTGATAGTCTGTTTGAATTTTAAAGTCCCAGAGAACCTTAGCGTGTCCATTTACTATTAGAGTTGTTTATTTTGTGGCCTCACAATTCTTGCTTGCAAGTAAGTGGTATTTCTTGCAGACATTCCAAGGCACCATTGTTGCAACTTTGTCATGCTGTTGTTGGTAGTCAGTCTGTGCCATCTTCTTACCGTAGCTAACCAGGTAAACCACTGTTTCTTCAGCTTCCTTACAGAGACGGCACTTGCTATCTGTTGCTGTCTTATCAACAATGCTTTGTATGCATTTGTAGCCCCTGTGTTTCTTTCTTTAGCTTTCCTGGTTTTATTCATTGATTTAGGACTTGTTATTTGCTTTGCCTGCTATTTAATGTACTGGCCATATAAACCTTTGCCTTGCCATGTCTCTTTTCTATTCTTCATTTGGTCTTTCTTATAGGCCAATTCGATCTCTCTGTTATTTAGTAGACCTTCGTGGTATACTACTTCAGTGTATCTTCTTTACTGTCCTTCAAATATTCTTCCAATATTATTACGGTACTAGTAGTTTGTGTGTGTGTGTATGTGTGTAATAACATACATAATACAACAATACAATTTCAAGAGGTGAGAGTCCTCCATGCCATGGAAATGCGAATGCTCCGTTGGATATCAGGCATCTCCCTTCTTGACTACATCACAAATGACATCATTTGACAGCATTTTGGTGTGCCACCAATTATAGAGAAGATGAGAGAAGGCCAGCTCCACTGGTATGGACATGTCCAGAGAGCAGCACCTTCCACCATTGCCAAGACTGCCTGCGAACTAGAAATTAATGGCTGGCAACCTCGTCGGCGTCCAAAACAGAGATGGCAAGACACCATCAACAAAGATATGCAAGCTGTGGATTTGCGTCCTGGAGACGCAGCTGACAGTGCAAAGTGATGTTCAATGATCCGAAAAGCAGACCCTGCACCTGCGGGAATATGCTAGGAAGAAGAAGAAGAGTATGCATTCATATATGAATACAATAGCATTCATCTAAAATGCTCTACATAGCATATGCTAGAAAAACTGCATGCTTTCAATAATCAATTTTAGTTCAGGGGCTACCTTATTATTATTTTTATTTTTATTTTATTTCATTCTACACTTGATACACACTTTAAAAAGTGATAAAGAAGTATTTACTTTCTTCCTGCTGTTCCCTTTTGGGCATCAAAATGAGTTTGTAAAATAGACTATTGCAGGGATGGCTAACCTTTTCCGGACCGAGTGCCCAAAGTGCGTGCGCAGGTGCCATTGAATGCATACACCTGTGCCCAAACCCCCAAAATGCAATGTGTGCACGTGCCCCCTGCATGCGCCCCCTCCCCCATGCATGCATGGCAGAGACCCGAAGACCAGCTGGCTGGCAGGAGACGCATGCGCGTGCACAGCAAAGCTGAACTGGGGCGACGGCTCGCGTGCCCACAGAGAGGGTGCTGCGTGCCACCTCTGGCACACGTGCCATAGGTTCGCCATCACGGGACTATTGCATCTCAGATAGGGAAGAGACACAACTTTAGTGTGCTGCCTCAAGTAAACAATGTGCTCAAATAAACTAGAAGGGAGAAAGATTCTAGTTCTTGTATTGAGCCTATCTGCTTATTGGAAACTTTTTTTTACGTGAACAGAGCTTCTCAGGTTATCTGAAAATATTAAACGGTGACTCTCCATTTACGACTTCAGTAGTAGCAGTCTGTTATGAATCTTACTAGCATAGGCTTTTGAAAGCCTATTGATAGTAAGTTTAAGATGAAGATTAAGCGATTTTAAAATTGTAAGCCTTCTGGAGTTCAGTGATAGCCAAATAACCATTAGCTGGATAGATGACAATGTTTATATCTGGCATACAAATAAAATATGATTCAATTTTGTAACTTCATTATAGCAAGACAGCTCTATAAATTCTGGGTGTATAGAAGTAGATTCATCTGAAATTGCACCCCAGGGATGTTGAAACATCAAAATACATAAATTCAAACAGAAATTTTATGTAACCAGTGCAGCCAGTGTCTAAGAATTTGGGAGCTATAACTGAGAAGCCATTGCACCAAATGTGGGTGCCTGAATGTAAGTACGTTAAAGGGCAGTAATTGGTTTCTTTAATGGAAGATGTGGCCAATATTATGATTTTGCTTTCTCCCAAAGATTTAGAGTGGATCCCTGCAATCAGTTATAGAACAGATGGTGAACAGCCTTCAGCTAATTTGCTGAATCTGACCTATGCTTTTTCTGAGATAGGCTTGCAAACACAGCCAAATGGCTTCTCCATTTCAAGAGCAATATCAGAAAGATGTTTGCATGTAGCAAAGAAGACTGTTATCTCATTAGAAGCATTTTAGTTAATTAATGATATGGATTTGCAGTGATTAATCTTTAAAGAAACAACGAAATATGTGTTGCTTATTACTTATGATTGCTTATGATACAGCCATAAGCTGCAAGCTGGCATTCTTCTAAATAAATGTCTCCTGTATAAATGAATGAAAAAGAAATGCCTCTTTTTAAAAAGATACCTTTTATCTAGGGCATTTGTAACTTCCTGTAGTAAAATATTTAACTTACAGGAAAAAAATGTGATTTCTCTAATTGAAGACATATTATAAAAGTAGGGATGTGCATGAAGCAGAAATGTGTTTTCTTTTGAACTTAGAACAAACAGACCTATATCCTAGATTGAATGTTTTGTTCTAATATGTCAGACCTTTGAAGTAGGCAAGGTCAAGAAACACAGAGATTCCAATAATGCTTCTTTATAGTAGTAGAATATATTAACAGAACCTTGAAATCCTATCCTAGTGTTTTTCAATCTCAACAATTCTAAAATGGATGAACTTCATTTTCCAGAATTCTCCAGCAAGCATGAAGTCCACCCATTTTAAAATTCCTGTGGTTGAAAAACACTACAAACACTGTCCCACACTGTTCTCTCTGTCCTTTATTATACTAATAAAATCAAAGAAGTTTTCTTAGTCTCTTTCTTATACTTTCTTCAAACTCTGGACAATGTAAATGCTTCTTGAAGACCCTCCTGGACAGTCGTTTCATACCAAGTTCGTACAATTCCTTTATACAATCTATACAAACACACACATTTTATATCAAGCTTACAACATTCAGAAGGTTGCTTCCTGTGACCTGAGCTCTCGGAATTCTGAAATATTGTTGAATTTTTGAAGTAGGTAAATTTTGTTCTGATTGTTGTTGTTTTTTCTGGCCTCAGAACAAAACTCTTGCAAATGCAAAGCTCAGAACACTCAAACTAACCATGTTTAAGTTAAAAGGTTTTGAAAATGAAAACCCCCAAGATTTATTTACTAATATTTAGAAAAACCTTTCAGTATAAGCAATAAATTGAACCTGTGTCAGAGTATGGAAATCTATTCTCTTTATGTCTGTCAGCTTTGGACTGATTTGCCAACCTCTGTTGCCCCCTGCAGGCTGTGAGATGAATGTACACAAACGTTGTGTCCATTGTGTTCCCAGTTTGTGTGGTGTTGACCATACAGAACGCCGTGGACGCCTCCAACTTCAAATTGAGACATTTGGGAGTGATGAGATCCGGGTGACTGGTAAGGAAAGGGTGGCATTGAAGTGTAATGGAATTGGACATATGTGTCTACTGACTTATTAATATCTTATTAGACGTCCTGTTCTCAACATTTCGATGTTGAAACTTATATTGGTGGCATTGCCAGGAACTGGACCTTCTTGGTGGTAGTCTTCCAAAAACAATTTGCTTTGCTCTTCTGTCTTTTAGATGGTGGATTACATTGATTAAATTTACTCAGATTTTTGATGAAATATTTCAAATAATTCTAATATTTCTTTAATGCTACTACCGGTATTAACTGCCTCTTATAATTAAAAGTCAAATAGAAAGCGATTGTCAGGGCTCTGACAAATGCCCTAATTAACTCATGAACCTCGAGCCAAGTTTCAAAAGAAACCCAGTTATTTATTAGGAGCAACATGTCGGCAGCTACCCAAGTGTAGTCAACTCTGCCCCATGTAATTTACGGCTCAACTATGACCCTGTTCACGGCCCCCCCTCAGGCTGTGTCATAAATCACATTCTCCAACGAAGCACTTTTGCGGGCTGTAGAAACCACGTCTAACAAACTGGCTCTGGTAATCTGAGATCCAACCTTGGAGGAAGGTATGCATGGAGTATGGCTGCTGAATTGCTCCATCACTTCTCCCTCCTTTCTGCCCATGGCAACTCAAGAGTAGAAACAAATGCTTTGTGAGTTGACAGTGATAGGATATGAGGACTAGAAACTTCATTTTTAAAAAAGCAAGCTGAAGAAACTGGGACTCCTGTTTTGTTTATGAATCAAATTTATATGGCCGCCATCTCATCAAAACCTCTTCATTCTTTACTTAAGGAATTAGGAGCTTTTGAAAACAGGTAAAATAAGAAAGCCTTCGGGGGGGGGGGGAAGGGGGCAAGCTAGCTTGAAAAGGTGGGAGAAGGCACGGAAGTGGGAATGCAGTACTGTTTGCCCAACATCATTTCTCTTTTCTAAGAAAAGAAAATTTGCAAATTTGGGATGTTTACTCATGAGGGCAAACACACTTTTGCTAATGGCAGTCTTTGGGAAAACCTCAGGACTTTGCTAAAATATCCAAGGCAAACAAATTGTTTCTGGGTAATAGTTTCCATTATTTTGCCATCTTTGGATATGCAATGATAGCTTCTGAACTTGCAGTTTCTATATAAGTTATTAGTTCTTTCTTTATCTCAAGATAAGATCACTTAATTTATTAACATCCCATGCTTGTGACTATAATACCTGAAAGGAACTTGATACTATAGATATTTTGAAAAGCCTACCTGGGAGTGACATAGATTTTAGGTGAATTGATGAAATTGATAAGTTAAACACAAGTCTTCTGGTGAAGGAGCCCTAAGCATTTCAAATTTATTTCTTTATTTTATTCCTTTATTCCATTTCTATAGCTGCCCAATTCAATCAGGTGACTAACTACCTTCAACTTGATGTTGTAGTACTTAAAATCTACTCTTGATTCTTTAATGCCACAAATTAAAAGGCCTCATTTTAAAACATTGATGAATATGCTTTCACTAACTAATCTTTCTTATAGACATTTCTGTGATAAAAATTTCAGAATATAGACAAAAAAATGAGACGTAGCAGACATCCACAAATCTTTTTCCCTCTACTTGTTTCAGAGAGGGCCGGAATGAATTATATAAATACAGGCATGTTTGCTCATTTTGCATTTTTAAATATGCAGTAATTCTTTCGCAATTCATTTAGGATCCAAGATTCAGTTTTTTTATTTAGTTCTGGTATCAGATGTAAAATCCCAGTGAACCTTCCTGGGCAAATATGCATATTCATTTCTGCAATTCCTTCTTTTTTTCTCTCTCTTTCTCCTTAAAGGATTCAATTTAGTTATGGTGGACTTAAAGCTGGATTGGGAAATCACAAAACCTCCCCTTTTCATTTGAAGAGGGATTAACTTGTTGTCATGAAAAATAGATGAAAATAATGCATAATGAATAATACAAATATTAAAGAATAATGAAAAATGGAGGCAGCCCAGATGATGCGACTGGAGGTTTGAAGAATGACTTGGGCTCTTCAGAATAGAAGAGTACTGCGGCACTGACTACAAGACAGTTGCGGTTTTGATAGGCCGGGGTGAAGAATGGGTCTGATTGGGGTGGTGAAGGCTGGGCACCTGGGTTCTATTCCTAGCTGCAAAACTTGACATTCCCCCGCCTCTGCTTTTCACACCTTCCCCTGCAGACTTTCTCACTGTCTTTCTCCCGCATTCTGGAACACCAGCACGTAGGTGGTGAGAAGAAAGCCATTGCTGCATTCTTCTTGACAGAAGGGGATTTCCTCACCCACCCTACCATCCCCTTCTCCCCCATGCACACACACGCAAACACACACAAGTTGCTGCGGCAGCAATTTTCATGGCCCACAGCAGGTGGCCTGGGACAGATGCCAGAAGTTCCTCCTCCCTCAGCCCACCAGCAAACACAGGAGGTCTGCCTTCCTACCCACTCACTCTTCCCTCTGGTACAAGGACTCCGTTGGAAGTTAATAATCTTTTTTGGAAGCCGATATCACTGTTTCTATTTCCCTCCCTTCTTTCCGTATCAGTTGGAGAAGCACTGAACTTGATCCCGATGGATCCAAATGGTCTCTCTGATCCTTATGTGAAACTCAAGCTGATTCCTGACCCAAAGAATCTCACAAAGCAAAAGACCAGAACCGTCAGGTCCACCCTTAATCCTATCTGGAATGAAACCTTTGTTTTGTAAGTACAGGATGGAGGGACCTCAGGGAGCTATGCATTTCATTTATCAAATTTAGAAATGGCGGGAGGAAGAGCTTCATGGTGCTAACCAGCCCCATGGCTGTGTGCTCCTCTGGGAACCCCAAGCAGGATGGCAGGGTGAGGTCTTTAGACATTTCTGAAAGTCCAGGATACTGGAGGCCTGCCTCACCTTTGGCGGAAGAATGTTCTAAAATGGGGGTGTGAAACTCAAGCCCCACGGGCTGGATCCGGCCCACGGAGTGCTTAGATCTGACCCGCAGGACTGTCCTGGAAAAGGGGAAGGACTGGCCCACGGTGCCTCTGCCAGCGAAAACGGAGCTCAGGAGGGCTGTGCACGGTCCCCCAGAGCTCCTTTTTCACTGGCAGAGGGCTGCAGGATGCAATTGCTGCCGAAATTGATCCCGGATCTGCGCACCTTCCGCCGCGCTCTAAAGACCTTTTTATTTCACCAGGCGGGCCTGGCCTAACTTTCTCCCTCTTTTTAAACAATTTTAATATTTTAATATTTTTTTAATATTTTTAATCCTCAAAGTTTAAATTTGTTTTAAATTGATTGGGGTTTTAATCTGTCTGGGCCAAACTATTTAATTCGGTTTTATTTCTGCTTTTTAAATTTTGTATGTATGTATTTTATTGTTGGCTGTTCACCGCCCTGAGTCCTTCGGGAGTAGGGCGGTATACAAATCAAATAAAAGTAAAGTAAAGAAAACCAAGCCTGGGAGGGCCACCCACGGCTCTTCCGAGCTCTGTTTTCGCTGGCAGAGCATTCAGGCCACCACAGGTGCCCCTCCAACATGACATCAAGCTGGTCATGCCCACCCTGACCACACCCACCCTGGCCCCTGAGGTTAAACACAACCCTGATGCGGCCCCCAATGAAATCGAGTTCGACACCCCTGTTCTAAAGGGTGGAAGCAACAGCAGAGTTAGTTGGAATTCTTTAACTCAGGGGATCTCCAAATGTAGTAACTTTTAAGACTTGTGGACTTCAACTCCCAGAATTCCCCAGTCAGCCATGCTTTAACGGAAGGTGTCGCAGCAGGACCAAGTAGGACAGGCTGATGTAATGGGGCAAAGGTGATTCTATAGCTAACTTGCCCCTATGCCAGATGGGGCTTCAAAGGTCATAACCAACACTAGAATTGAACCTGGAAGCAAATCAGCACTGAGTGCACCTTGTGCAGCAGAAAGGTTTCATGCATCATTCTTTGGGCTACCAAGATTGATCACGCAGCCTCATTCAATACCAGCCGAAGTTTCCGGATACTGTTCAAGGGTAGCCCCACGTAGAACGCATTGCAATAATCCAATTGGGAGATGACCAAGGCATGAATGGTTGAGTGGAGAGCCTTCCTTTCCAGGAAAGGGTGCACAACATGAAATAATAAGAAAATTTGTTTATTCAGATTTTTAACAATCTCCTCCTTTCCCTTTGTCACCCACCAGCACCCTGCAGCCAGGTGACATGGACCGGCGCCTCTCCATCGAGGTTTGGGACTGGGACCGGACAACCCGCAATGACTTCATGGGCGCCATGTCCTTTGGAGTCTCTGAGCTGTTCAAGGGCCCTGTGGAAGGCTGGTAAGGGGAAATCTGTTGGGTAGGAAAAAATGGAAGAGAACAATGGAGCAACACAGTGGCCCACCAGTGCTCATATTCTCTCTCTTTCTCCGTCTTGGCGTCTTTTTGGATTTTATCTGTTTGCTTGGTTGGCACCATCCTCTTTCTCTTTCTCTGTCTCTCGCTCTTCTCTTCTTTAATTTAACCCCGCAAATATCTCCCATTTTTGGCTTCCATCCATTCATTCTGTTCTCCTTTCCCTGTTTCCTTCCATTTTCTTCCCCATCATCCCTCTTGCTCAATCGCTCCCTCTTTTGTCCACTTCCGCCCTGCCCAATGTCCCTGTCTGCGTTGCTGTCCCAGGTACAAATTGCTCAATCAGGAGGAGGGCGAATATTATAGTGTCCCTGTGGCGGATGCAGAAAACTGTGGGCTGCTGCAGAAATTTGAGGTAACCATGTGGCTCCATGACAATGTTTGGATTGGTACCCCATACGCTGTACATTGTGCCGTACGCTGAGCTCTGCCATGCGACACCAGAAGAAATGCCCTTTCTTATCCTCTGGGGCAGTTTTACCCAGTGCAGTTTGCAAGGAGCTCACTGAAAGATGGGATGTGATGGGTGACCAGCAAGATCTCTTCTAGTTAGTAAACAAAAATTAGAAGCAACACCCTGGGGTGTAGGGCCCTAAAAAAGAATCTGGTTTTCCAATAGAGCCACTTGTAATGTTCTTTGTTATCCCATAAATGAGGCGCGTGGCTCAGTGGCTTAATGATGCTGGAGATGGGGTCTTTGCGAGTAGATAAATAGGCACCACTTCGGTGGGGAAACGAGGCGACACTTCATGCAGACAGTTAGAATCTTGCTGGCACTGGACCTTCCCAATTGCAACCCCCCGTTTGCAAGCTGAGTGACAACTTTGGAGGAGGGAAGGGACTGGAAATGATGCTGCAGGAAAGCTGCTTGTCTTTCTGGCGTGGAACTAGCTCGCCCCCTGTGGTGCACTTTGGAAAGTGCATGACCATGAACCAAATGGGACTAGCAATCTTAGGTAGCCAAAGTACTACTCTGCGTTAGCACTGTAGTCTCCTGGCTAAGGTGACATCGCCATACGCTAAACAAACAAACCCATAAATGTTACCCTTTAAAGGCAGTTTGGCCTGTGTGTGTTATACTCACTGTGTTGCATCAAGCCTAATCACGAAGGATGTACTTCACAGCTCTAGGATCTACTGTGACAAACACAGCATTATTGAAGGGCAGGCCTGTTGATCTATAAGATCAGCTCTAATGTGAGGCAAAATGATAGATGATTCAAAGGGAGAGGATTTTAGCAACCCTCTAGCTTTTTTTTCGGGGAGAACACAGATCTGTGTGTTTTATCCTGACCTGAGTCTGCTGAAATGGCATTCATTATCCCACCATTAGACAGTCTCAACTGTCTTCTCTGGATAGAAAGAATCATCTTGTCCTTTGCAAGTTGTCCTTAAACAACTAAATTTCTTGAGATGGTCCTATAAATGGTCGGTGGGTGGTCCAGTTTAAGAATGGGCAGAAATTACATTTTTAATGAAGAGGCAGGATGGAACAGAGGTCATTCAGGCAGCTACTTACATCTTAATGTTCTGTTTTCCAGGCTTGCAACTTCCCTCTGGAACTCTATGAGGTATAAAATTTTCTTTTGTTTCTTTTATTTTGAGAAGAGGCGAAAGATGGATTCTTCTGCTGCCGTAAAAGCAGCCACCAAAGCTCACTTAGAGAAAGAGGGAAGTGCTGGACACAAGAACAGGGAAAGAGCCCACTTGATCCCTTGAGTCTACTGATGTCCATCCAGTTCTTTCGTTTTTAGGACCAATTAAGTTGTTTTTGGCTGCTCACAGTAAATTGCCCATCTTTCACCCCTTCTAGCAGCCATTGATATGCTCCTTCTGAACTTGGAAACATGTCCTTAGCTAAAGTGCTTAACAGTCACAGATATGTCTCTCCTTGGGAACATTGTTGGCTGAATCTCAGTGTTTAATTCTGGAGAAAAAGCATTTCCTTAGATATGTCCATAAGCTGGAAGGAGAAAAATGGAGGTGGTATAAATACTTTTGAAGCAAAAGTATCAGAGAAGGAAAGATAACACCAAGATCACTGAGATGAATTCACCTATTTGTGGTCTTCCCAGAAAGCAATTCAGATAGTCCTCAATTTATGACCACAATTGAGTCCCAAATTTTCATTGCTAAGCAAGGCAGTTGTTAAATAGGTTTTGTCCACTTAACAACAATTTTATGACTTTTTTCCACAGTTTTTAAATGAATCACTGCATTTGTTAAGTGAAGCATTCAGTCGTTAAGTGAATCTGGCTTCCCCCATTGACTTTGCTTGTTGGAAGCCAGCAGGGAAGATTACAAATGCGATCATTGTCATAAATACCAACCAGTTGCCAAGCTTCTGAATTTTGATAATGTGACCATAGGGATGCTGCAATGGTCATAAGTGTGAAAACTGGTCATAACTCCTTTTTTTTAGTGTTTAACATCAAATGGTCACTAAATGAATGGTTGTAAGTTGAGGATTAACTATACCTTGAATATAAGTCTAGATTGGAGATTACTGGGTATTACCACTAAGATTTTCTGCATAAAAAATCTGAGTCTGGAATCATGGCAACTTCCTCAGTTTACCGTGGATCTGCCCTGTTTCTGTAATGACTCCACCGATCCTCTTGTGAAGAAAGTTAATTTGCAACTGCATATATATCAAAATCACTCCGTTCTTTTCTCAGTCATCCAGTCATCGTTGTCCCAAAGGTGCTTTTTCAAGAGGTGACTGGACTTTCTTGTTTTTCTTCTCATCCAAGAAGCTTCTTCAACTCTGACTGAATGGTGGGTAATGGAAGGGTTTATATTCCTTGCAATCAGCTGGTTATTAGCATCCTTTTAGAGAGTCATTGAGGCCACTTGAAGATTTGTCTGTGTTCTCAGGGTCACTTGAGTAGTGCAAATGGTTATGGAGTCTTCTTGGAACTGCTGAAAGGACTGTGTTGTCATTGAGAAGTTGGAGCTGTGCTTGACCAGTTGTCTGCAAGGAATATAAATCCTTCCATTCCCCACCATCCAGTCAGAGCTGAAGAAGCTTCTTGGATAAGAAGCGAAAGGTCTTCAAAGAAAAACAAGAAAGTCCAGTTGCCTCTTGGAAAAAGCACCTTTGGGACACTCCATTGCCCATTCCCCCACACTCCCTAATGTCTAAGAATTTTACCATTTGTACTAAATGTAGCTTGTACCAGCTTCCATTTCAAAGGTATCTAGAAACAGATGAACACCCAAGGTGCACCCTCTTCAAAACGGCAGAGATTGCTGAAGTTTTAATGTAACTCTAGTTGCAACGCCCTTAATTCTGAGTCTGCAGACCTTCACGCCTGCGTTTCCTCCTTTTGTTCTGCAGAAAGTTCGCCATGGTCCTATCCCATCTCCATCTCCGAGCCCCACAGACTCTAAGCGTGGCGGATTCTTTGGCATCAACCGCTTCCATATCTCGGATTTCAACTTTCTCATGGTTCTGGGCAAAGGAAGTTTTGGCAAGGTGGGTCTGCCATTAGGCAGTGGGTCAGAGGTGCACAAGAGAGGGAAGTACAACTACTGGCAGTGTCCAAATTTTGGGCCCTTGCAAAGGCAGAATTTCTTTAATTAAAAAACTTCCTTAGGTGGAAACAAGACTCAAGACTCTGGGGTGCTTTCCCCACAGGTGATGCTGGCCGAACGACGGGGGACAGATGAGCTCTATGCCATCAAGATCCTAAAGAAAGATGTGATAATCCAAGATGATGATGTAGAATGTACTATGGTGGAAAAGCGGGTCTTGGCTATGGGGGAACGTCCACATTTCCTAACTCAGCTGCACTCTACCTTTCAAACGGCGGTAATTCTTGTCTTCCAGAGTTATTTCATTAAACAAATATTCACCTTTTAATGAAATAGATCGGGAGTGTCCAACCTTGGCAACTTTTAAGAACTGTGAACTTCATTTTCCAAAATTCTCCAACCAGGCATGCTGGCTGGGGAATTCTGGAAGTTAAAATCCACAAGTCTTAAAGTTACTAAGGATGGAAACCCTGAAATTGATTCTTTAATTGGAATAAATAATTTCTTCCCACTGCTTAGATTGGACACAAGAGAAATCAATAGTTCTGCACCGAACAAACACCATGTGTTATTGAATTTTTTGAAATTATGCCTGTGTGTGGAGAAAGAAGGGCTGCTTTTGAGATGATGCCAATTGTTTTTATATTAATTGTATTCAAAATAATTTGAACAATAAAAAATAACTACTTTTTATTAAAGAGGGCTTATTTATATAATTAATCAAAGTATGTTTTATTCCGTGAACTGATGTCCACACATCTTAAAATGGCCAAGGTGGAGAAACACTGATTTAGGGAATACTTATAGATGAATTTATTTGTCTGGGGACATATTCTGCTCTTTTCCTTCAAGGACCGGCTGTATTTTGTTATGGAGTATGTCAATGGAGGAGACCTAATGTATCACATCCAGCAGGTTGGGAAATTCAAGGAACCCCATGCTATGTACGTGAGTTTTTTGGGGGGAAGTTAGCTATCTGTATGTCAACCAAAGAAGTATGTCATCAAACCCAAAGAAAAGTTACTCTGAAAAACTTAAATGCAGATTTAAAAATCGTGATCAGCTCCCAAGAGTGGTAGGCTGGTCATTTGCTCATCTGTTTAATATCCTAATCTAGTCCAGCCATGCACTGTCACCAAACAGCAGCACTGTTCCTTGTTTTGTCTTAAGAAAATTAGAGATGTGAAAAGTATCTCCCACTGCTCAGGTTATAAGTACCGTATTTTTCAGAATATAAGACGCACCTTTTCCCCCCCAAAAAGAGAGTGAAAATCTGGGTGCGTCTTATACTCCAAATGTAGCCCCGCCCAGCCTTGCAAATAGAGATTTCAGGGGCTGAAAGAAGCCTCTGAAAGAAGTTTCAGGAAAAAAGCCTCAGAAAAAAAGTTTCAGGAAAAAAGCCTCAGAAACGAAGCTTCAGAAAAAAAGTCTCTGAAAGGCTTTTATCTAAAATAATATGGCAAGCAACAAAAGAAGAATCAGTAAAGGTTCTAACCAAACTAAGTCATCATGTCACTATATCCAATTTTATGACCTTTTTAATGGCAGTTAAGTGAACCCAATGTTACGGTGCATTTTTTCCCCAGAAACTGGAAGTAATACTGGTTGAAACTTTTAGTTTGATTTTGAGTATCATAGGTAAAGATTTGTCCCAGCATCCAAGTCAGAAAGGTGGTAAAAAAACCTGATCTACATATACCAGAAGTGGGGAACGATGGCCCCTTTATGACTCGTGGACTTCAACTCCCAGAATTGGGAGTTGAAATCCACAAGTCATAAATGGGCCATCATTTCCCACTCCTGGCATGTATAATGGAGTTAGGTGGGAAAGCAATAATTTATGAGATTGTGAAGTAATATGATTTCATGATTTCAGACTGGAAGTGGAGCATCACTTTTATTTAAAAAAAAAAGATAAGAGAGCATTTCTTGCAAAAAATGAAGATTGTGCAGTGGTTAAGGTGCCAGACTAGAAACCAGCAGGTAGTGACTTTTACTTCTGCCTTAGGCACAAAGCCAAGTAGGTGATCTTGGACCAGTCACTTTCTCACATCCCTAGGAATGAGACAGTGTCAAACCACTTCTCACAAATCTTGCCAAGAAAACTGAAGGGTCTTGGCCAGGACTCAAAAACTGACTTGAAGGCACCCATCAACAAACATATAATTCTCAGCAAATGATTACTGTCCTCTGGCAGAAAGAAGAAGGCATCTTCTCTTGCTCTGCTCCCTGGCAGACGTTTCTCCACCTGGCAGGGCAGCTAGGGCCAGACCTTTATCACTGGATTAAAAAAAGAAAGATGCTCTGGAAAAAATGCTCTGATCATCCCAACATGGAGCGCCTTGGTTTAAGAATAGGCTTGGCCATAACCATTCAATAGAGCATGAAAAAGTGTCCATTGAAACTGCCATAAAACACACTCTGAAGATGCTAGCAGTGAGCTATTTGCCATCCTCTTTCTAATTGCCATCTTTTCCTCTATTCTCCTATAGGTTTTATGCAGCTGAAATTGCGATTGGCCTGTTCTTTTTGCATAACAAGGGAATTATTTACAGGTGAGTCTCTGGTTGCTGTCCATTCTCCATGCCCACCCAAGCCAGAGAAGGAGATGGGGGGAGGGAGGCTGTCTTGACTACAATTCTTTGGGCCTAACTATAAAATCCCTATGTTTTTGTAAGAATTGAGAAGATACAGCTCCACTCCTTTCTCTTTCCCTCCCATGATCTCTCCAGCCTTCTTCTTTTTTCCAGTGTCAAAATCTGAACACCGGTAATAGCAATATCACTTAGACTTATATACCGCTTCGTAGCGTTTTGCAGCACTCTTTGAGCAATTTACAGAATCAGGATATTGCCCTCAACAATCTGAGTCATCATTTTACCTCCCTTGGAAGGATGGAAGGCTGAGTCAACCTGAGTCAGGATTGAACTCCTGGCACTGGGCAGAGTCATCTTAATTCTCAATTTATGACCATAATTAAGCCTGGAATTATGGTCGTAAGTCATAGTGATCATCAAGTGGGTTACCACGCAATTGCGTTGATTTTACAACTTTTTTTTGTAGCGGTTGTTAATTGAACTCTGGTTGTTAAGCAGATGCTACCATCATTAAGCAAATGTGGCAATTGTTAACTCAATTTCCCCAATGTGTGTTTTTTACTGGAATACCAAAAAGTGACAAAAAATGATGAAAATTACAGTCAAGTGACCATGGGACGCTACAAATGGCCATAAATGTGAGCTGGTTGCCAAGTGCCTAAAGTTCAGTTACATAAATATGGGACTGGAACTCTGGAACTTGGTTGTAAATAGATCTGGGAGGTCCGTCATATCTTAGTGAACAGTCACTAAGTGATTCTGGAGTCATTATATAATTGGAGCCCTCTGTTGGACAGACTCTGTTCCAATTCTTCATACTATTGTCTCTAGGGATTTGAAACTGGACAACGTCATGTTGGATGCTGATGGCCACATTAAGATCACAGATTTTGGGATGTGTAAAGAAAACATTTTCCCTGGCATCACCACCCGGACTTTTTGCGGAACACCTGACTATATTGCTCCAGAGGTACAGATCTCCACTTAAAAACATAATGTGCCCAGGTTCCATCTACTTTCGTCTTCTATTTCCAGTTTGTTTCTGGGCAGGATATAAGGCGGGAATACTTGATCTCAAAGCCCACAATGCAGAGGCGGGTTTCAGCAGGTTCTGACCAGTTTTGGAAAACCAGTAGCAGAAATTTTGAGTAGTTCGGAGAACTGGTTGTAAAAATTCTGACTGGCCCTGCCCCCATCTATTCTCTGCCTCCCAAGTCCCAGCTGATCAGGAGGAAATGGGGATTTTGCAGTAACCTTCCCCTGAATTGGGGAGGGAATGGAGATTTTGCAGTAACCTTCCCCTGGAGTGGGAAGAGGATGGAGATTTTTACAGTATCCTTCCCCTGCCATGACCACCAAGCCACGCCACGCCCACAGAACCGGTAGTAAAAAAATTTGAAACCCACCACTGCCACAATGGCTTATGGCCAAGTCATTTAAGGAAGCATCTTCAATTGCAAGTTCCTCATTTTTGGATTGCAGTTGGTTAGGATTTTAGGGGGTGTCTTCATTGGAATTCCTATATAATCTCTTTACTAACAGCAGAGAAGTCTCATCTTAAATTTGTTTCCGTGGTCAAGTTAATCAATGGTTTTAGCTGGTTGGTTGGTTTTGCTTGTATTTATTTTTTAAAAAGCAGGTTTTTTTTTTTTTAAAAAAAGGTTTAATTATTTTTGATCGTTTTATTTATTATTGAATTTTTTTAAAAAATAAATCATCTCTCTACAGAGATCAGGGAACTAATCTTAAATTCCTTTCTTCACCAGGCTTTTGGGTCATATGTTTAAATGTCTAACAGTTTAGCTGTTAAATTGCTTTTATTTCTTTTTAAATCTGTAATAGTTTGGTGTTATTGTATTGTTTCACAAAATACCCTATTCCTAGAAATAAAGAGAAAAGTGGAGTCCAAATTTAATTGCAAAACAAGAAGAAAAAAACCTGTATCCCTTTTTGGACTCCGTATAAACATAAAGACTACTGCTCTTTAAAATTTCAGTGTTTCAAATTCCTACACTATATGCTTTACATACATCCAAACTCAGTATATCCATTATAGCCAGTGTGTTTTTGCATCTGAAATCCAGTTTTTACAATTAAACATACGAATTATTTCAATTCAGGGACTCACCTTTGCTTTATTCCTTCTTAGGCGTTATGTTCTCCCTAGGCCATTTCAGTTTTAAGTTCTGAAATGCTCCATCATGTCTAGTTTGACTCTCAGAATATTTTGGATGGAGGGGGCAGTGAGTGAATGAAAACTCCGTTCTTTTATTGCATTTTAATTTTAATTGGTTGAAAAGCCCAGGATCCTAACTGTGTTATGACCATGGTTTTGAGGTTGAATCACAGCAGTGCTGTTTGCTTCAAACCACTCTTGAAAAATAAAATTACAATGTCAAGAGTGGAATAGCAGGCTTTTATCAGGGTCAAACTGCATGGAATATATCTGTCCCATTTAAAAATTATTGTTTTATTTATCAGTTCAAAATGCAACAATCAGTTCTTAAATGCTGTATGATCTAAGTATTTCATGAGCCACCTTCTTTTGTAACAACCAGCACACATATTTTATTCATCAATGGAAACTTTGCTCCAAAATTTCCACTGGAAGTGTAAACAATGTAAGACAAAATCTTTTTGGTGGTAATTCTCGGCTGGTTGAATTCATTCTTCATAGGGCATACTCTGCTCATCCTCGACTTACAACCTCAATTGATATGATTTCTGTCCTAAATCGTTGCGGCTGTAAGTTGGATCAAACTTGATTTTTTATGGTATCACTAAAGCAAATCATTATGTTCATTAAGCGAATTAGAGTCCCTAAGCAAATCCAGCTTTCCCAATAAGGTGTTTTTTTGCTGGAAACTGGCAAAATAAAGGTCACAAATTATAATCATGTGACCGCAGGATGCCACAACCAGTCCTAAATCCAAGCTGGTTGCCAAGCGCCTGAATTGTGATGACATGACCATGAGAGTAGAAGGATGGTCATAAGTGTGAGTACAAGTCATAAGTCACTTTTTCCAAATCTGGCGTAATTTTGAACATTTGTCAAACAAATGGTTGTAAATCAAGGACTACCTGTATTTGCTCATTTACTTTATTCATTTGTTTATATTAAATACAATTCCTACTTTGCAAATGTGGAAAATATATTATTCTTTCAGTTAAGTATTTAGCCTCAGTAGAGATATATGAGTTTTTCTCTTAGATTTTTTGGGCTTTATTGGCTATGTTTGGCTTGCTCGTAGATAATTATATCTTTAATTTTGTTAGCTGTTTAGTTGGAGCTGCTTTGTTCAAAATGTGAAATGATATGTATCTCAAGGGGCTGAAATTCTCATTTTTCCCTCTCTTAAGATTATAGCCTACCAGCCCTATGGGAAGTCGGTGGACTGGTGGTCATTTGGTGTTCTTCTATATGAAATGTTAGCCGGACAGGTACGTATATGTAAGGATTCAGGTACGTATATGCAAGGATTCTTTACCATTTACTCCACTTCAAAAAATGTGTTTACATTATCTGGAGAAATGATTGATAGCCATCAATTTTAAATTTTAAATTTTATTTTGTACATTGTTTTATTATGGCTGCTCACCGCCCTGAGTCCTTCGGGAGAAGGGCGGTATATAAATAAAATAAAATAAATAAAATAAAATGAGATCAGGAAACAAAGGCTATTAGGGATTGAACTCAGTCATTTCCATCTCCTGGGTGTGCTCCAGAGAATTTTCATAATTTCCAAATTGGGCTGAGATTTTGAAACAGATTAATTTTGAAAGATACAGATAAGGGACTGATCCCTTAAATAGCTGCGTGTAGGGAATTTGTTGCTCAATGAGTTTCTGATAATAAACTAGCATTCCTTATTGGATTCTTAGGAGCATCAATCTCATATGAGAAGCTAGGAATCACCAGTGGAAGAAGATGTTTAGTGGTGCTTAGCTCTTAGTGGAAACCTTGAGAATTGAGACTGAGAAAAAGAGGTTGCACTCAAGCCAAAATATATGTTTCCACTGAATTTAGTGTTAGATGAACAATTCTTTTTTTTTTCTTCTTTTTAAATTTGATTTATATGCTGCCCTTCTCCGGAGACTCAGGGCGGCTTACAATGCGTTACAATTCTTCATTTATTTATTAATTTATGTCATTTATATAGCTTCCCATTTTACACAAGTGACTTTGGACAGCTGACAAGATTAAAACAAACAAACCCCTCCAAACATAACCACCCCCTCGGGGTCTAAGGACAAATGATTATCCATAGCAGCACCCCCATCTTGACCCAAAGGCCTGGGGAAACAGCCATTGGAGCCATCTGGATTTCTGGCCCAGTGCTGTTCTAACAAAAAGACATCGTTTAATAAAAGTTACCTGGAGCATACCTTCTCTGCTAGATCTGGTGGGGTGGACAGAAACAATTGGAGAAAGGGCTTAGTAGATATTTTGAAAAGAAAAGCATCCATGCAATTTCAGAAATGTAAAGTAGAAACGGGATAGGATTATTCCTGTTCTTCCAGAGGGCTTTGTATATTTTGATTGTCACGCATGGAAGAGGACTACTTTTGTTCTCCAAGTGCCATTCTGCAGCCTTCTTTTGCACAAAACCTGGATATGTGGCTCAAAGATATAAGTTTAAGTGTTGTTTATCTGTGTTACGTGAACAGTAGTTTCGTACATGACTGAGACTTCCAAGTAGGAAAATGTATTTAATGGACCAAACATTTCATACACACATGCTATGCTTTCTGGGGAAAAGTAAATAATTGTTGCTTATTTTCCCTGTGTTTGCTTGGTCTGCAGCCACCATTTGATGGAGAGGATGAGGATGAGCTCTTTCAGTCGATTATGGAACACACAGTATCCTATCCTAAATCTCTTTCACGAGAGGCTGTTTCCATCTGCAAAGGAGTGAGTCTTGTTTCAGAACTGGCACACCTAGGTGGAAGGGGCTCCTTATCATATTTCCTGAGGCAACATGAAAGATCGAACCTTGTCAGCCTTCCCAGGTAGTCTGGAAAAGAAACACAACCAGTTGAGCCAATTCTACTTCATTGTAAGGCTACATTAACAAAATCTCACAAGTTTCAAAGCACAGATCTCCCACAGTCGTTTTTTTACCACCTGATATGGTAGGGAGGTTATTTTATGAGTCCTTTTCTCTTCCTGTTATGCAGCTGCAGGCTACGCCTCCTCTTATCTGATAGTTCCCTACGCAGCTTCTCTTCTAGCTCCTGTGTCCCAAGGTCATTCCCACAACCATTACATATCTAATGCTACAAGAACCATTTCTAAGATGTACGGTTTTGCAGGGAAGGGACAACTGATACAACTGAATCCAAACTGATGGATTGTCTTTTGAAAAAAATCTGCCCTTTGAAATTTACTGTATATGGATTTGTTCCCTGCTTGGTTTTTAAACCAAAAAGCAATCCCAGTTTACATTAAACACTGGCAGGGGAAAATCAGTATGGTGGGAAGCAGTTAAGGCCACACTTGGAATACTGCATTCAGTTTTGGTCGCCATGATGTTAAAAGGATGTTGAGACTCTAGAAAGAGTGCAGACAAGAGCAACAAGGATGATTAGGGGAATGGAAGCTAAAACATATGAAGAATGGTTGCAGGAACTGGGTACGTCTAGTTTAATGAAAATAAGGACTAGGGGAGACATGATAGCAGTGTTCCAATATCTCAGGGGCTGCCACAAAGAAAAGGGAGTCAAGCTATTCTCCAAAGCACCTGAGGGTAGGACAAGAAGCAATGGGTGGAAACTAATCAAGGAGAAAAGCAACTTTGAACTAAGGAGAAATTTCCTGACAGTTAGAACAATTAATCCGTGGAATGGCTTGTCTCCGGAGGTGGTGAATGCTCCAACACTGGAAGTTTTTAAGATGATGTTGGATAACCATTTGTCTGAAGTGGTGTAGGGTTTCCTGCCTAAGCAGGGGGTTGGACTAGAAGACCTCCAAGGTCCCTTCCAACTCTGTTTGTTCTACATTTCTAAGTATTTATTTCATCTCTTTGCCCTATGGGTGTTCCTCTGCTTCTATGTGTGGATGTGGGAACTCTTGTTTGCTTAGTTCAGTGTCTCCTTCTGTTTTTCCAAGTGTCACAGCAAGTATCAGATGCCCAGGCAATTGGTTCTTTTAGATCCAGAGACAGTAAGTACACCAGTGAACAAAGGGATTTTAAACCTTTATTATTAGCTCAAGCAAACAGATTTAAAAGCACAACATAAAAAGCACACACACACACACACACACACACACACACACACACACACACACACATATATGTCTTTGGTTATTCGGGTCTTCTCCCACGTAAAATTGGAAGTGTCTTGGCGACGTTTCGACGAAGTCTCATTCGTCATCTTCAGGCTGGTGTTCTCGGCTTCGTGCTTCCAGGAGCAATGTGAGATTGCAGCTGTCTCTTCCTTTTAACTGCTAGTGGGGGTTTGAGCTGATTGGGCCCTACTAGCAGTTAAAAGGAAGAGACAGCTGCGATCTCACATTGCTCCTGGAAGCACGAAGCCGAGAACACCAGCCTGAAGATGACGAATGAGACTTCGTCGAAACGTCGCCAAGACACTTCCAATTTTACGTGGGAGAAGACCCGAATAACCAAAGACCTACATACAAACACCCACGAAAACCTGAGAAAACAAATATATATATATATATATATGTATGTATGTATGTATGTATGTATGTATGTATGTATGTATATACACACACCAAGCAAAATGATACCCAAATTTCTTACAGGCTGCCAGGAGCTCCTGAATAATGACAGCAGAGATGTCCTAAAGTGGCCAATTTTCACAGTACCCAATGCTATGGTCTGTGCCAAAGCTCCCAACAACAACCCCAAGGTTGTCTTTTATTATACCCAAACCGGGCACCACGACTTCATGGCCCTGCTGTGGTGATGAGACTGCAGGACCTGACCTTGACTGTATGGCACAGGCCTCTGGGATGGGAATTAAAAGTTGGAGGCTTTCACAGTAAGAAAAGCTTTACAGCTTGGCGAAGATTCCCTCCCCTTCTCCTTTATTCAGTAGCAAGAGTAAAAAACAAAAAAAACCCCAAACACGTTAGCTCAGAATGAATTCTAAACTTCTAGACTTTTCTTAATATGAAGGAATAAATCAAAATACGTCACTAAACTCCTCGAAATAATAATGGTCTTCTGCGTTGCCACTATATTTTCACATCTGGTTCAGATTGGATTAGATTCCTTCAAGTAAGATGCAGAGCTAGCCCACTTCTCTCTGTTCCTTAGTTCTTGACCAAACATCCCCTGAAGCGCCTGGGGTCGGGACCAGAAGGGGAACGGGATATTCGGGAGCATGGATTTTTCCGCTGGATGGACTGGGAGAAAATGGAACAGCTGGAAATTGCTCCACCTTTCATACCTAGGCCCGTGAGTAGCTGTTGGTTGCCGAATGACAGGATCACCAATTATTCTCCAAATAGAGTTTATATTATTCTGCTATCCGCCATGTTTTTAGAATAGAAAACTAAGAGAGGAATCACAAAGGAAGGTTACACAGGGGCAGTCCTCAATTTACAATCAGAATTTCCATTGCTAAGCAAGGCAGTCGTCAAGTGAGTTGCACCTGATTTTATGACCCTTTTTGCCACGGTTGTTAAGTGAATCACTGCAGTTATTAAGTGAATTGCGAGGTTGTTAAACAAATCTTATCTTTTCTCATTGACTTTGCTTTTTGGAAACCAGCTGGGAAGGTTGCAAATGGCAATTGTATTTTCAAAATATAAATACATGCCAGGTGCCATGTATTTTTATCAAATTTTGATCACATGATCGTGGGGAATGCCTCAATGATTGTAAGTTACTTTTTTTCAGTGCTGTTGTAACTTTGAACAGTTGCTAAACAAATGGTTGTAAGTCGAGGACTACCTGTATGAATCCATATGGTTCTAGACAAAGAACTCTTTGCAGAAGCTTGTTTGTTTTTTCCTTCCTCAAAATCTATAAATTTAAAATTCAGAATGTGTGTTCATCATTAATTTCATAAATACTATTATGTAGTTTAAGGCTTAGCTAGTAAATGAGGAAAGAGATGTATTAACAGACTGAAAAATAACTCTTTTCTTCTCAACTTCTTCCCTCAATCTCTTTGGTCCTTTCCTTTTTCTCTTTCTACATCTACTCTAGTGTGGTCGGAGTGGCGAAAACTTTGACAAGTTCTTTACACGGGCACCACCAGCGCTGACACCCCCAGACCAGCTGGTTCTGGCAAGCCTCGATCAGAGTGAATTCCAAGGATTTACCTACATCAACCCTGACTTCGTGCATCCATCAACATTGCGGCAGGGAAGCCTCTCACCAACCGCCATGCCTCTTTCACCAACTGGCATGCCTCTCTCCCCAGCAGGAATAATCCCTTCTCCTACCTCTTTAGTGTGAGAATGATCCGTAATCACCCAACATCCCCATTTTAAACCTTGGCTGTTGGACTCTGTTCCTAAGAGCAGGAGTCCAAGTTGAAACCCAATCCTAACTATGATCCCCAGAAATATTTTGTTAATTGCATTCTCTGGTGTGTTGTTTGCCTCCTTCCTTCCTTCCTTTCTTTCCTTAGGTGCAATCAAACTGGTGAGGTTAAGAATGAGAAAGCGCATGCATGCACACGCACGCGCGCGCGCGCACACACACACACACACACACACACACACACACACAGGGAGAAGGAGATACAAGTACAAATACTCAGACCAGAGTTCCCCAACCTTTCCGACTTTGCGGATTGGTGGGGAGGGGAGGGGATGGTTCTGTGTGAGTGGCGGGTACACACTCACCCACTGCTCGGACAAGTGGGAATGCGCTGCACTCTCCTGCCACTTCCGCAGCCCGGTTCCAAATGTCTCAAGGCCCAGTAGTAGACTGTGGCCCAGGGGTTGGGGTCCTCTGTCTCAGATGCATGTACACACAAACACACTATATATATAGATAAGGGATGTCAAACTCAAGGCCTGGGGGCCGGACCTGGCCCACATAGTGTTTAGGTCTGGCTCATGGGGCTGCCCTGGAAACAGCTCTGTTTTTGCTGGCAGAGGGTTGCAGAAGGCCATTGCAGCCAAAAATGAAGCGTGGAGCCCGTTTTCACTGGTAAAGCATTTGGGTCACCCCCAACACGAGTGATGTCGAGCTGGCCACCCCCCTGGCCACGCCTCCCTCCCAAGGTTAAACACAACCCTGATGCGGCCCTCAGTGAAATAGAGTTTGACACCTCTGATACAGATAGTTAGGTAAATAAATATAAATATAAAGCTACATCAAGGGAAATAAAGTTTTAGAGCCTAGATAAGAGAGATATTCCTCTTATTACAGTCAACCTTTGGCGGGTCCTGAAATTTGATCAAGGTTATTCTCTCACATATCAGACTATCGATGTGAGGAATTTTGTAAAAATCGTTTTTGTCTTGTAATCTTTTCACTGAATCTTTGCAGCTTTTCTGTGTCTTTTGTGATGGTCCTTCAAATGATGTAAGTCGGGAATTTGACTGAAAATAGTGAATGAAAGAGTAGAAGACTGGTTCCAATAAGGTCCTCCTAATTTCCCCAAGATAGTTAGGGTACCGGATGACTCATCTAGTTAGAAATGGGTAAACCATGGATTACCCAGCTAATTTTATTCCATGCATATTTTGTGTAAAAATAACTGGCCAAAGGGTAACAGCTGTATTTTGTGAGAGGGTTATTCTGAAATTTAACTTGGGGTTATCCAGACTATATTTTTGCTTTTATTTCAGGACTATAAAATGGCTGCCAAGCTTTAGAAAATATCCTATAAATGCAGCAAAATGATAGCTGTATATAAAATGTGATTGTGCAATGAAAACGGAGATCTAAATATGAAGCGCACACTGAATCACTTAACTCTACTTGAGATTTGGGCTCCAGAAGGGGAATGTGGCATGGATTTATTAAATTAGAGAGCTCCACATTTAACAGAACCATTATAAACCTGGATATGAAATGAATGGAGAAAGAGCAATCTCAGAATGCTACATTTATATAGAAAGTGTTGGTGGGGGAAAATAACTTATTCTTTAGTTGCTACTATTGTGTGTAGAGGAAATATTTCTTCACAGGCTTAAAACACTGAGTCTCCTGTGCTTCTTCAGATATGTCAAAACTAGTTTTCAGAAGTCCCAATTTTAGCACATCTGCAGCAGGGGTGGGTTCTACTTACCTTTACTACCGGTTCGCAATGGGATCGCGCGGGCGAGCACAGATCGCTGATGGCGACATCCGGGTGGTGGGCGGGGCCTCCCACTGGTTTTACTACCAGTTCTTGCGAACCGGTCCAAACCGGGGGCAACCCACCACTGATCTGCAGAATGCCAAGTTGGAAAACCCCATCTCAAAGGATATCTAGTTTAAATTAAGTGATTCTGAGTTACTCTCTTGAAATGCTTTTTAAATTGGGAAGCTATCAAGGAAGAATGACTGCCTTCTCCCTCCATTAATTAGTGGTTCAAATAATTTCTGATATTCATTTCAATTAATATCCATTTGCAAATTGTAATCTTCAGCTTCACCTCCATGGTGCTTTTCCTAGTCGTATCTGCTACAGTGGAATATTATAATACTTGATGTATTTGTCTTAAAACTTTGATTCCTTGCACCTCACACATTGTTAGTAGACTTTCCTTCCCAAAAATCTTGTGAAAACCTCACCAGTCCTCCTCCTTCCTCCTAGACATTGCACCAGTGTTTCCCAACCTTGGCAGGCTAGGTAATTCTGGAAGTTGGTCCATACATCTTAAAATTGCCATAGTTGAGAAACACTGCATCACATAGTATGTGGCACAGCCTCCTGGCCCTTAATTTCCCAACATTTAACACCTTCCTCTAACATGGCTTCCCATCACCAACTCATCAGCTGTAAATAAAACCTTGAAAGAACAATGGATGATGGCAAATGTGGTATTAGACTTTGGGTAAAATATGTGTCTTCTTCCACAGAACAGCATGTTGAGATGGAAACTTTGTCTTCTCTTTCATGCATTAACTATTATATTATGAATTGATTTATATGTACATAATGAATATGTGTACCTTCCACGTTTCCATCTTTCTAAAGGGACATCCATCTCTTCCAAGCTACACCTGACTGTCTTTTTACAGCTTTAAAACTGAGGTATGGTAAACTGAGATCTTACTCTATTCTGAGAGCATCACTAATGATCGGAATGTAAACTCCCCTCGTGATTCTTCCCAATTATTTTTTGGTGCCAAAAAACCCCCCATCTTGGTATTTATTTAGCTGATGATAGAACTCTACTGGAAACTAAAATTTTTCTGCCTGTGTCAGCTACTGAATTGTCATGAGACGGCACATTGAAGGTGCAATGTTTATTCACACCCTTGAAGTGTTTACTCGTATGAATATGTGCTACAGATGAAAGAGAACTGAATTTACCTCAGGTGGAGTGAGGTAAAAGGATGACTTGTTCTGCTGACAGCAGGACATATTTAGGAAAGATGAAATATTAACATGTTCATTCCTCTCCATACCTTAGAAGCAACTTGCAGTTTTTTATCTCCTTTACATTGGTGGAAATTAACACTTTATAGCAACTTTCTGCAAACTGGTCTACAATTTTGTGCCCCCCATCTCTTCTTCCTCATTGCTGATTGAGGAAAAATGTTGTAGACCAATACAACTGAAGCTTGGTAGATTTTCTGGCAGACAGAACATTTTAAATATATACAGAATTCCAATATATTAGCTAGTTAGTGGAAGGGTAGGGAGAATTCCCAAGCTTTATATAGTATATCAGTCCCAGAATTGCAAAGCAAGGTATATGCAGCAAGATAGATACAGATGGAGATGTTAAGATTTAGAGCTACCAGGGGCATTGTTGGCTATCTACATCTTAGGCCAGAGGTCTTTAAACTTGGCAGCTTTAAGACTTGTGGACTTCAACTCCCAGTATTCTCCAGCCAGCATAGCTGGCTGGAGAATTCTGGGAATTGAAGTCCACAAGTTTTAAAGCTGCCAAGTTTGAGGACCCCTGTCTTAGGCCAATAATGTTACAGGAAAGCAGAGCTATTTGCACAAGTATCTAAGGTAGCCCACAGATAGAGCAGAAGGTTGTAGAATCCAGAGTTCTGGGTTTGTGAGCAGTGAGTACGGTTTAGAGCAGGGGTGGGGAACTATAGCCCCTTTATGACCTCTGGATTTCAATTGGTTGGCTCAGTTACTGGCTCAGGAATGCTGGGAGTTGAAGTCCACAGGTCATAAAGGGGCCATAGTTCCCCACCCCTATTCTAGAGAGTGCCAATTTATTCTTCCCCAAATATTTCTACAGTTTTTTCCTTCAACCCTTAAAATGCATAAGTCTTCCATCAGTTTCCTGCCTCGTTTCCCCCCACCCCCTCTGCTAGTTACCCCGCCTTTCCCCATCACCGCCACCACCAATTCGGGGATAATCGGACACCCTGCTACTCCTACCTTTTCTTTGGCTTGTGATTCTCTGTAGCCAGTATAATCGAATGGACTCACCTATGCATTTCAACATAAAAGATATTTATCCAATCCTCACCTTGTGTTTGTTTTTCTTGTCAATAGCTTGGGTGATAAGACACTACAGATTTTGGGTGATGGCTGATAATGCCGAGAGCTTTACTTTCAAGCAATGGTTTCAATTGGATAATTTTAGACTGTAGACCTAAAGGAATTCTGTCCTTTTGATGGTAACAGCAATTTTTCCTGGCTTTTAATGCTTGCCGTAGAACATTAAAGCATACAGGGCACTTCTATAGGCTGCCTCTACACCATTCTCTAATCCGCGCCCCACCTCTGGGGTGCCATAATGTCCCTGCTTAGCAGCTGAGCCCATTTATTTCCAGCTCAGCAGTCATGCCTTCAAATTCACAGTGAGTTTAGTTTTCCAGCTGAAACGTTATAGCTCTGCAGAGCTGGTGGGTGGGTGCTTTCCCCCACCCCCCCTTCATTGGCAGGAGTTCTGAGAAAAGAATGAGGTGGCAGCTTTCCCTGACTGTGGCAGTGGGTTTTGACAAGCAAACACATTGTATATGCAAAGGGGCATTGGTTGGGTAGTTTTTGTTGTCATTACTGTTTTACTCCATTGGTCAGTTGCCTCACTGCGGTGCTTTTCAAACAAGGCAACTTTAAGGTGTGTGGGACTTCAAGCCCCAAAATTTATGCCGGCTGGGGAATTCTGGGAGTTGAAGTATACCTAATGTCTTACAAATAATCGTCCACTTACGACCCCCCCTTGACCCCAAAATTTATATCGGTAAGTGAGTTTTGCTCCGTTTTACGACTTTTTTTGCCACAGTGGTTAAACGAGTTACTAACTGCAGTTGTTAGTAACACAGTTGTTAAGTGAATCTGTCTTAGCTTGTCAGGTCATAAAAGAGGGCCACATGATCCCGGGACATAGCAACCGTCATAAATATGAACCAGATGCCAAGCATCCAAATTTTGATCACATAACCACAGGGATGCTGCAACGGTCGTGTGAAAAAGTCTTTATTATACAATAACAGTTGAAAGTGACCTCGGAAGTTATTTAGTCCAACCTCTTGTTCAAGTAGGAGACCCTATACCATTTGTGACAAGTGGCTATCATCTTGAAAGCCTCCAGTGATGGAGCACCCATTACTTCTGAAGGCAAACAGTTCCATTGGTTGATTTTTCTCACTGTCAGAAAATGTCTCCTTATTTCTAGGTTGAATCTCTCCTTGATCAGTTTCCATCTATTGTTTCTTTCAGGTGCTTTGGAAAATAGGTTGATCTCCCTCCTCTCTGTGTGAGCCCCTTAGATACTGGAACACTGTTATCATGTCGCCCTTGGTCTTTCTCTTTGCTAGACTAGCCATCAGGGGTGGGTTTAACCTACCGTTACCACCAGCTCACCGCGCACACTGTCCACGCATGCACCTCGCCTTCCGCACAGGTGCTTTGCTCGTTCATGCCTTCCACGCATGCGCCTGACCTTGAAAACATACCTAAATAATATGACTTGGAGCTGCAATCACCGCTACCAGTTTGCCTGAACCAGTGTGAACCAGCTGAATACCACCTCTACTAGCCATGCCCAGTTCCTGCAACTGTTTTAGCTGTTTCAGTCCATATGTTTTAGCCTCCAGGACCCTAATCATCTTTGTTGCTACCCTTTGTGCTCTTTCCAAAGCTTCTGCATTTTTTTTTTTTATAATGTGGTGACCCAAACTGGATGCAGTATTCCAGGGGTCGCCTTACTGCTGTTATAATTTTGAACAGTCACTAAACGAATGGTGGTAAGTCAAGGACTACCTGTATTTTTTCCCTAAGATTTCTTTTAAAATAGAAGCCACCCACAGCCCAAATGAATGGTTGAAAGAAAAATACTGCCTACACTGGATTTTCATGGCTGCCGGTGGGAAAGAAAATTATATCTTGAAAATTATGCCTTGGAAGTCTTGGAAATGCTTCTGAGGGTTTGGGTTTGAAGAAAATGTTTTGAAAAAAGGACCTTTGCCTTCATTAACAATTTGTTAATTTGTTAATTAACAATAGAGTTGGAAGGAGAGGTAGAAGGCAGAGGTGGATTTTGAGGCTGAATCCAAAGGTACTCTCACCCTGTTTTAAGAAGAACCCTCTTTAAGAAGAGATTGGACAACCATTTGTCTGAAATGGTATAGGGTTTCCTGCTTAAACAGAGAGTTGGACTAGAAGACCTCTAAAGTCTTTTCCAATTCTGTATTCTGCTCTCCCCATTAGTATTTTAGCAGCAAATGATGTGGGCTGCTGTAGCCATACTGGGTTGAAGGCGATTTATTTTAAAACATTTTCAAGTAAGAAGGGCAGCGAGCCATATGTCTGACTGTGAACACAGCCCAATATAAATGGGTTTTAACATCATCCCAGTCTCCATTTTATTCTGTAAGGTCCCAAAATATACTTGAGTCACCAGAATGCCAAAGAGAGAGACTCAAGACAAGGCTTGCAAAAAAGCAGATTTTATTTATGGCCAAAAACAAAATACTGGGTGGAACTATATCCAGAACATACAGATACAATGCATGCAAGGAAATAGCCACACCTTGGGGAAGGTATGGTGTCCTTTTATACCCTCAGAGATGTCAGCTTAGTACCCAATTCTGGCCTTCTAATTTAGGTTTGTGTATTCTTTGTTGCCCTGCAAGGGGGAATAGAAGCTTCCCAATTAGTTTTATCTTAAGCATTTCTTTGTTTACTCAATTGGCCACTTAGCCCCCTGGCTCTGGAAGACAGGAGTTTATCCAGATCAAACATAAATTAGAGCTGAGGTATAAATTATCCCTTTGTTGATGGCTGTAGTTTCAACTGAGATACCTACCATGCTTTTACATAGCACAGAAAGAAGATTGATATGAGTTCAGGTCAAATGGCAGGGACATAAGTTTGACAAATACCAGATACATTACAGAGGCCTAATAACAATATGTTTCTAACAGGAGATACAAATATAAAAGCATAATATATGTGATACAAATACAAAGGCATATATGTATTACAGGAATCTAATGGTTACAGAATCTGGTATACCAGTATATCATATTCTAGTATTATTTATTATATCCTTATTATTGTTTCCCTTCAATTCCTTATCTAGGGTACCTTGTTTTGAGTCAGTTTGACCTAGGCTTCCTGAGACAGTAAAAAGCACACGATTAGTCCCAAAAACCCTCTTTTTATTTCAATGGCTGTGAATTCTGTTCATTCAAAACCCGTAATGAGTCACAAATAGTTTGTAAAGAGTCCAACAAGTCTGCCATAGTTCTTCGGGATAAGATTGATAAGCACCCACCTTTATCTCCCTTGACACACTGCCAAAGATTTGCTAATTGGCAATTAGTTTTGCAAGGCCACATGGAGCACAGAGTCAAAACGGAGATTCAGAACTTAAACTGAC